TTGGGGTGCCTGTGGGAGGCAACTCGTCAGTGTCTTTATCCCTTCTCCTCTCCTCCTAAAATCCATAAACATATGAACAATGTTTATTGTAGCACTGATCCTAGAAGCACACCACCACCCACCCAACCAATTAACCCTGGGCAGGCAGAAAGAGGTTGGATGTCCAGTCTGAAATGCCAGGTTGTCTCCAGGAAGTAGGAGTCATGTCATGTCCCTAGGTGCAGTGGCTTCGTGATTCCTTAAACAATTTAATTTTTACAAAAGTATTCCTTCTGGACTTGTGGTCTGATTCCTATCCCTGCACCGAGAGGCCAACAACACAGGTGCCATTTGCTAGGAAAAGATACACCTGAGGAGACTTACCCAGGAGGCATAGTTGGCCAAGGGTTCCTGACACCTGTAGGTCCCCTTCAAAATATCATTTCTTTTCAAACTCTAAGAGAAAAAGTGAATCTAATCCAGCCTGAATTATTTTTGCCCTTACAGCAATGCAATCACAACTCTTAATTTGTACTTCATTTAAAAGGAGGCCACGAAGTGGCATGCGCACAGGGCTGGTCACCTCTGAACCCAGTGTGGCTTCAGATATGTGTCGGCAGAGTCATGGGTGGCAGTCGCTCCTCCTCTGTTGAAGCTTTCGGGCATTTCTTTACGTCCTTTGTTTATACCGGGAAACAAGGATTTCCCTCTGTAGGGTGGTTAGTGTGGGGGCTCTAGGACTCCGATTCCTGTGTGTCCAGTTAGTTGATTCACTTTAAAGTCTCTGAGCCTCAGTTTCCCCACCTGCAAAAAGGGAATGATGAGGGTCCCTACCTCGGTGTCACCGGGAGACCTATAAAATACCCAGGATACCCTGAGCACCCAACACACACTTCCTGAACAAATCCACCCAGGTCAGCATGGAGTAGGGTCTCTGACCCTCTTTCTTGACCCCACACCTGGCTACTACACCCACCCTGCCCTCCCAGGGCCAGGGGAGGCTCTGAGGGCAGGAAGGAGATGGGCTCTGGGGCCCTCAGGCAGGCAGCTCCGCCAGGCCCGCCTGTCCGTCCAGGAGGGCCGTCTTTCCCACGCTTTGAGACCGCACCCCCGACGCACCCACTCACACATGTCAGCCATGCCCAGAGACAGAGGCGCCGGTGCACACAGACAGGGGAAAGCTCGGGCAGGAGAGAAGGACCCTCACACGCACAGACACACTCACACCCAGACACACAGACAGGCGCAGAGGAAGAGACCAGACACAGGTGGACACCTGGATGGCGCCCGTGCGCTGAAATACCGCGGACAAAAACAAAGGCAGATACTACACACTGTCGTGGACACAGAGGGACGCCAGAGAGGCCAAGACAGGCAGCCGACACGCCCACAGCCGACACACCCACAAGCAAAGGGAAAACACAGGAGACCACCCGGACACACGCGGTGACAAACACAGAGCCTCTCAGAGACCGCCCCGGAGTCTCAGCCCAACACTCTCTCTCTCTCTCTCACACACACACACACACACAGCGACCCAGCGTCACCTTCACCCGCATGACCCCGCCCCTATCAGCATTTGCTCCGGAGTCCACACGCCCCTTCCAGGACCCGCATCCCACTGTCCTACCGACTCAAGACGTCACCAGCCTGACTCACTAGTCGCCCTGAGCAAAATGAATGGCGCCCGCCGCCCCACCCCACTGCGTCAGCACTGAGTCTGCGCACAGGGGTCGACTAAACTTCCCAGAAGTGCGCGCGCCACCATGGCCTCCAACCCTCCTCCCCTTAGAGGGCGCACTGCACACTGGACTGAACCGGAGTCGGTCGCACCAGGCGCCATGTCCCAGAAGTCCCCTCGGCGGGGTCAGGAAGGCGGGGCTAGTGTGGAATCGGGTAGGCTGTTGCGCTAGGGCTCGTAGAGCGGGAAGAATACGAGAGCGCATTCCCGGGCCAGACCGGAGGGAATGGATGGATGGACGGAGTGGGGACCATGGAAGAGAATGAGAAAAGGGAGACGGGTGCAGGGAGATGGGGAGGGCGAACTGGGGACCAGAGAGGGAAATGCTACAAAAGTCGGTGCTGTGGGTCCAGGTGGGACAAGAAGCTGTAGCCAGTCTGCAGGCATCTTGGGTCCACCCAGGGTGCCTGATAGACGTTTGTCCTAGCTGCTGTGGTTCAGTGGCTTGAGTGTGGGCCTGCGAACCAAAGATCGCGGGTTCCATTCACAGTCAGGGCACAAGCCCAGGTTGGGGGCGAGGTCCCAACTGGGAGCCTGGGAGAGGCAGAGAACTGACATTTCTCTCCCTCTCTTTCTCCTTCCATTCCCTCTTTCTAACAACAAATTAAAAATTTTTTTAAACAAATTAATAGACCACTATGAGAAACTATGGCATCTGATGCGATTACTGTTACTTCCTAAAGCTGAAAAAAAAAAATTTCTTCCCCTCATGAACCACTTGGTACCTTCTGTTCCAGGGAAACTGGGGGCTGGGTGTGGGGAAAATAAGGACACCCACAGATGGTGACAACCCAAACTGGACTACATCCAGGCACGTGTGATAAAGTGACAATGTCCCCATGGAGCCCACTATCTCCTCTTTCCTCCACTTTACTATCCAGGAGATGGACACCAGAGACACTGACTGTGTTGTCCAAGCTCCTACAACAGTTTACTGGATCTGCAGCCACAGAACCCCTGGCCACACTCCCAGATACTAGAACTGTAGGGGAGGCTTGTGGTTTATGCAGCACTGCCAATGCTACGAAAGCTGCTGGTGTGCATGGTGTGGCCTGTCCCCAGCAGCCACATTCCTAAGACATGTCTGGGCAGGACTTCTCTCAAGTCCTACCTGTGGGCTCCAATGTCATTTCTGGCACTGCGCATGGGCTCAGGACACATCCACAGGTGAGGGTTCAGAGGTCCCAGAACCTCCTCCCAAGTACAGGTGCATCCTCTGGTGTTGCATGAGGCTGAAGCTCCTGATGAAGGTTTTTGCCCACTTGGTACTCTCCCATGTGGATCCTCCAATGGAGGGTGAGCGAGAAGTTCTGACAAAGTCATTGCCGCATCTGTAGGGCTTCTCTCTGGTGTGGCTGGTCTGGTGCGCCTCTAGGGACAAACATTTCTGAAAGATGAGCACTCCTAGGGCTTCTCCCCACTGTGCCTCGCCAAGGAAGAGTTCTGCTAAAGGCCTCACCACACTGGCTGAGCTCATCAGGCTCCTGTGGGGTGTGCACTCGTCAGTGCTCTGTGAGATGGAGCTCTGCCCGAAGGCCTTACCCCAATCCAAGCAGGCACATGGGTTATTGTGTGCACAAGCTGGCGGGCAGTGAGGCAGGACTGCTGGGTGAACAGTTCCCACACGTGGTGCTCAGGAAGGGTTTCTTCCCATGTGGATTATTTGGTGTTTCTCCAGGCACGAGTTATAGCCATAAGCCTACCACACTGCATGCACCCGAAGGCTTTTTCTTGCCAGGAATTTGGAGGGAGGATGAGCTTTAAAGCACCTGAGATGTCCCATGCCTGGTGAATGGGTGTGTGCCTATCCTACTCGGTCCTTCCCATCTTGGTGGGGCTGGCAAGTGGCTTCGGTGTTCGAATGCCTTAAATTCACGATATTTGGGGTCTGAAGCTTCGGTCATGTACAACCACCTGTGACTGGTGACTGGTCTCCAGCGTTGCTGCCCTGCCAACTCACCCTGTGTCCCTGCTCCTTCACAGAAACAATCCTGGGAGCCATTCCTCCTGGGTGCTTCCACCAGCACTGCAAGGAATGGTCTGTATCCCCAAATATCGTCCTGTGGATCGGATTCTTTTACATCAGCTCTAGTCTCCAAGTGTGAGGGGGAGAGGGGAACCGCTGACGGCACACAGAGGTAACAACACTGGAAGAAAGGACCTTCCCAAGACACCACAGGGCACAGCCTGAGAGCAAGGGACAGCTTTCTTGCTTAGTAACTGGGAATGTGCCTCAATCTCCCCTTCTGAGAGACACGCTCCTTGACTGCCAGAGCTGAAACGGCCCTGCCCTTCACTTTCTAACTCATCACCTCTGACGTGGCTCAGAAATGAGCAGTGGGGGGTCCATGAGACAACAGACTTGGTTCACTCACTGCTGGACTCCCAGTGCCTGGAACAGTGCCTGGCAGGGAGGAGGTGCTCAGATACTTGAGTGACTCACTGTTCACCTGAAGCCTCTCGTCTCTTGAGATTCCTGCTTACCAGAGGATACAGAAATTCTAGGTCTTCATGTATTAGGCATCCACGTTCTTATTTCTTCAAACAGCCTCTCCCCCCACTACTCAGAAAGAAAAAAAAACCTCAGCCTCTTCCTGATCCCCTTCTTGGGTCCCCAGGCCCAAATCCCCCTCTACCCACATCAGACACAGCAGTCACTGTCACATGAACATCCCTATGCTACATGGCACTCAACAGAGGAAAAAGGCCAACTTCACTCTCGCCCCTCCTTCACTTGTCACCTCTCAGCCCCTCTGGAAAACAGGTGATCGATCACCTGTAATGACACATTCCCTTCCTTCTTTATAAAGAAAGCTGTGCCAAAGGGAAATTCCCCTCATGAAATTTCATGCCATGGGGAATGTTTACTGGGTAAATGAGCATCCATGATAAAGGAGATGGGAAATCCTTCAAGTCTCCTGATGCTAGTGACGAGGGTGTGTGTGTGGTACAGATGGAGAGATGTAATTTTCCACTAATACTTCTCTCTGGTCATGGGAGACCAGCAAACCCCAGGGAAACCTGTTCTGGTAACTAATATAAGAAATTGTGTGACCATTCCCAAGCCAGAAATCCAGGGATGTGAGGGTAGGTGGCCTTTGGTAGGATTCCTGGGTTCTGGGGGTCCCTATGGGGTATTTGACCACCCTCCCACTAAGTGCTGACACTCATTTGAACAGGACACTGGTCCCTGCATCTTTTGCACCAGATGATTGTCTTGTTTAAAATGACTTAGTCTCACTTAATTAAGTTTTATTAAAAAAAAATTTTTAACAGACCACTGTGAGAAAGTGGTATCTAAGTTGAGTAGTGTTACTTCTTAATCCTATAAAAAATACTCATTTCTCCTCAGGATCCACCTGCTAACTTCTACAGCTGATGAACTTGGGGCTTCCACTTGGTGTTGCAGGGAAACTAGGGGCTGTGTGTGGGGGACATAAGCAAACACACAGATGGGCACAACCTGATCCATCTAGATTCGGGCATGTGTGACAGACTGACAGATTCCCCATGAAGCTCACCTCCCCTGTTCTTTCCTCCTCCCGCTCCTTTTTCTGTTGAGGTGAAGACCCAGAGACTAAGTGCATGTCCAGGCTCATAGGACAGTCTACTCCAGCTTGGCCTGGAGCCACAGTGCCCCTGGCCACACTGCCAGGTACTAGATCTATAGGGGGGGCTTGCATTCCACAGGGCCCTACAGATGCTGCGGAATCAAATGGTGAGCGTGGTGTGGCCTGTCCCTAGAGCCCACATTCTATGACCCGTCTGGGCAGGACTTCTCTTGCATACTGTGTCAAGTCTGGTACTGACTCATGGGCTCAGGACCGGCTAGTTGAGTGTGGACACTGAGATTTCCTGCCTTTCTGCTATGTGTGCATCCTCTTCTGGCGCTTCCAGCTCTTGAAGCACTGGTGGGGCTACTCCCCCGTGTGAATGCGCTGGTGCTTCCTGAGAGAGGATTTGAGGCTAAAGAACTTTCCACATTGGCTGCAGCTGTAGGGCTTCTCCCCGGAGTGCACGCGCCTGTGGTCCCTGAGTGAGGAATTTTGCCTGAAGGCCTTGCCACACTGGTCACACATGTAGGGCTTCTCCCTGGTGTGCACATGCTGGTGCTCCCTGAGTGAGGAGTTTTGCCTGAAGGCCTTGCCACACTGGTCACATGTGTAGGGCTTCTCCCCGGTGTGCACGCGCTGGTGCTCCCTGAGAGAGTAGTTTTGCGTGAAGTCCTTGCCGCACTGGCCACACATATATGGCTTCTCGCCCGTGTGTGTCCGCTGATGTACCATGAGGTGCTCACTCCGACTGAAGGCCTTTTCACAGTCTGCACATGCATACGGCTTCTCCCCAGTGTGCATCCTCTGATGGACAATGAGGCTTCTGTTCCGGCTGAAGGCCTTGCTGCAGGTACTACACACATATGCCTTCACCCCTGTGTGAGTCCTCTGGTGTAGGCTGAGGTTCCCTTTATGTCTGAAGGCCTTGCCACAATCTCTGCATGCATACAGCTTCTCCCCAGTGTGTGTCCTCTGGTGTGCTTTGAGGCACTCCTGCCGGCTGAAGGCCTTGCTGCAGTCCCCGCACACATATGGTTTCTCTCCAGTGTGCGTCCTCTGGTGGGCAATAAGGCTCCTGTTGTGCATGAAGGCCTTGCCACAGTCCCCGCACACGTAAGGCTTCTCCCCAGTGTGCGTCCTCTGGTGTGTGATGAGGTAATCATTGCGACTGAAGGCCATGCCGCAGTCCCTACAGAAATAGGGCTTCACCCCAGTGTGCATACTCTGATGCTCAATGAGTTTCCTATTTAGCCTGAAGGCCATCCCGCAGTCCCTGCACACATATGGCTTCTCCCCGGTGTGCGTCCTCTGGTGCCGGATGATGTTCCCTTTCTGGCTGAACACCTTGCCACAGGCCCCGCATGCATACGGCTTCTCTCCGGTGTGTGTTCTCTGGTGCTGTATTACATGCACCTTCTGGCTGAAGGCCTTGCCACATTCCCCACATGTGTATGGATTCTCCCCGGTGTGCGTCCTCTGGTGCTGCATGAGGTGAGCCTTCTGGCTGAAGGCCTTGCCGCAGGCACCACACACATATGGCTTCTCCCCAGTATGCAGGCGCTGGTGGGTGGTGAGGGAAGACCGCAGGGTGAACTGCTTACTGCATGTGGCACATGAGAAAGGCTTCTCCCCAGTGTGGATTCGTTGGTGCTCCTTCAGGGATGAGTTATAGCTGAAAGCCTTGTCACACTGTCCGCACTTATAGGGCTTCTCTGCATGGAGTTTGGAGGGAGGACTCAGGCTTGAAGTACCTGAGTCCTTCCCACACATGGTGAACGGGTACATCCCCCCTCCTTTCGGTCCTTCCGATCTCGGTCGGGCTGGCACAAGGCTTTGGTGGACAAATGCCTCAAATTTACAACATTCAGGGGCTAATGCTTGAGATGTGTCCAAACACACACGACAGGTCCCTGGGGTCCCCTGTCGCCACCCTATCCAGTCACCCTGTGTCCCCGCCGCTCCTTCCCAGGCACCCCAGGCACCATTCCTTGTGGCTCCTTCTGCAACCACCATAGTGGGTGGTCTGTCTTCCCAATTGTCCTCCTGTGGGTCTGATTCTTTCCATTCAGGTCTAGTCTCCAAGTCTGAGGGGAGGGGAAAGAGATGATGACACACATGTAGTTAACAAAGCTGGGAGGGAGGACCTTCTGAAGACATGACAAGGCACAGCCTGAAAGCTGGGGACAGCCTGCTCTGGGAACCAAGGGAGAAGGGAAGCAGTGACCTGAGATAGTAAATTGCAGTGAGGTGAGCAGAGGGAGAAAGGTTCTGTTGGCAGTGGATGTAAAGATGGCCAGGGGTGCTCAGAGCTGGGCAGACAGACCCAGAAGAGAAAGAGGAAGGCGGGCTTGGAGGAGCAGATCAAAGGATCCCACAAGCCCAGTGAGGGTTCACTGCACCCGGCTCTTTGCTTCCAGGCCTTGTCCTGCACGCCCCCATCCAATTGTGCTTCTCAAAGCATTGACTGCTAATTAGAAATGATAAAGTAAAAAGTGACTCACATGTGGGTTCTGGTTGTCCACTGTCTCCCCACTCACCAGCCAAGTTCCTGCCTTCCTATGTTGCCCAGGACTGGCCTAGCCCTGGCTGCTGGCTCCTCACTCTCCTCATTGCACACTCGTCCCTCCCTGCTGACCACAGCTGCTCCAGTCCCCTCATGATTTGTCCCATGGATTCCTCATCTCTGTTCTGAGCCTGTGTTCTGGACTCTGCACATGGACATCAGGGTTCATCCCAAATTCTTAAAACTGTGAGATCTTACACAAAAATCTCATTAAAAAAGCAAATAACCTTCCCTGGCTTGTGTGGCTCAGTGGACTGAGCACCAGACTGTGAACTGAAAGGTCGCTGGTTCAATTCCCAGTCAGGGCACATGTCTGGGTGGCAGGCCAGGTCCCCAGTTGGGGGCACACAAGAGGAAACCACACATTGATGTTTCTCTCTGTCTGTCTGTCTGTCTCTCTCTCTCCCCCTCCCTTCCCCTCTGCCTAAAAATAAATGAATGAATGAATGAATAAAATCTAAATTCACTAGTCATCCTTGATTCACCCCTTGCCTCCCACCATCCAGACTGTTAACAAATGCCACCACACAGGAGAACATCTTGAACTGGACCAGGCTAACGTGCCACCATGGCCGCGATACAGCAGCCTCCCCCACTCTCTACAACCCACTGTCCATTCTGCGGGAAGAGGAGCTCAGGAGTCAGACCAAATCCTCTAACACTTTCTCAGTACCCAGGGACCAGAGGCAACACCTTTGTCATTTGAAATTTGGTTAATGACACAACACTCTCTTCCAAAAGAGCTGTCACAACTTCAAGCTCATAAAATGAAGAGTCCCTTTCCCTGCACCCTCAAAATACAGGATGCTGTTACTCTTTTTTTATGCCTCACCTGAGGATACGCTTAGAGAGGGAGACAGGGAGTGGGCAGGAAGATGCTGGGGGGAGAGAGAGAGACAGAAACATCAGTCGGTTACCTAACAGATGTGCCCCGCCTAGGGAGCAAACTCACAACCTAAGTGTGTATCCTGACAGGAAATCAAACCCACAACTTTTGATGCACAGGGTGAGGCTGCAACCAACTGAGCCACACCTGGCCTCGTCTTGCACTCTTTTTCATCTGTGTGTACCTCATGGGCAAGAATTGTATTTCTGTGATTCAACTGGTACTTCTTTGACTATTAGTAAGGTTTATAAAACTTTTTTAAAAGATTTTATTTATTTATTTTTAGAGAGGGAAGGGGGAGAGAGAGAGAGAGAGAAACATCAATGTGTGGTTGCTGGGGACCGTGGCCTGCGACCCAGGCATGTGCCCAGGTTGGGAATCGAACCTGCGATGCTTTGGTTTGCAGCCCACGCTCAATCCACTGAGCTACGCCAGCCAGGGCTACAAATCTTTTGTGAAGTATAAATCTATGAATTTCTGTACCTATGAATTGCATGTTCATAAACTGGATCTACGTATTTTCATTTGGTCCTTTTCTCACTTATTCCAAGGAGTGATTTATGTATTTAGAATCCTGTCAATGGTATACATGCAGTAAATACTCTTCCCCACTTTATCACCTATCAACTTTATTTTTACTTTGAGAAATTTGAATATCCTATTGTTAGATCTGTCCATCTTTTCTATTTCTCTGTCATCCTGAAGAATCAGGCAGACAGTGAGTAACACTGCAAGGCTGCCCCCTTACCCAGAGAGACCAGGTTCCAGTAGACCTCCATCATCACATCCCTGTACAGGTCCTTCTGCGCAGGCTTCAGCTGCTGCCACTCCTCCTGGGTGAAGTCCACAATCACATCCCTGAACGCCACTGACCCCTGTAAGAGGAAGCACATACCACTCACCGCAGGGCCCTTTTCACAGAGGTCAGGAGATGCAGCCAGAGAGGCTGAGAGGATCAGGAAGGCACACAGGATGCCCCTGACATGGTGTCGACAAGGTGCGGAGCTCTGAAGGGCCTGAACCTTCAGTGTCCTTGGTGCCTAAAGTCACTGGATGGTCCTCAGATAGACAAATAAACTATAGGGGTGTTCAACAGGAAGAAAAACAACCCAAGTAAACAAAGGGCAAAGGACCTGAATAGACAACTCTCCAAAGACGACATATAGATGGCCAACAAACATGAAAAAATACTCAACGTCATTTATCATCAGAGAGTTGCAAATTAAAACCTCAATGAGATAAAACCACCTCACACCTGTCAAATGAAAACATCTGGAAAAGACCCACAACCAGCAATGCCATCATGACAGGAGCCCTGAGCAGCAGCAGTGCTGGAGGGTGTCTGGGAAATTAGAAGCTGTGGTCTGCGGTTGGGTACATGGAGGGAGATTCTGGTTGGGGGTAGGTGAGTCAAGACCTGAGGATTAAACAGCAGAGCACTGAGAATGCTGATGCCAAAATATCCAAATCAATAGTTACTGCTGAAAATGAAAAACGTCTTTTATTTTCTGGAAAAAACGTAGGGAACTTTTTGGCCAACCCAGTAAGTACACACCTTTGAAATGACCATTGAGGCCACATGCTCATCTACCACCTGCCACTTTCCTCCTGGCCCCCTTTATTATTATACTTTTTTTTGGTTCTTATTTCATTTTAATTTCTTATTTTAAAAACTTAGATTTATTTTTTTTATTTTTATTTTTAGAGAGGGGAAGGCAGGGAGAAAGGGAGAGAAACGAATGTGTGGGTACCCCTGGCGTGCCCCCCCTGGGGGCCCAGCCCACAACCCAGGCATGTGCCCTGACTGGGAATCAAACTGGTGACCCTTTGGTTGGCAGGCAGACACTCAATCCAGTGAGCCACACCCCCAGGGCTCATTTTAATTTTAATTTTAAAAAATATTTTATTTATTTACTTTTAGAGAGAGAGAATGGGTAGGAGAAAGAAAGGGAAAGAAACGTCAATGTATGAGAGATACATCAATTGGTTGCCTCTCACACACCGCCAACTGGGGACCTGGCCTGCAATCTAGACATGTGCCCTGACTGGGAATCTAACTGGAGACCTTTGGTATGCAAGCTGGCACTCAATCCACTGAGCCACACCAGCCAGGGCATCATTTTAATTTTAAAATATAACTCATACTCAGAGTCTTCCAGCCTGATCCATGCACTGAGCTCTCAGTGGATTAGCTGACAACCAGAGAAGATCCTGGATGTCTGGGAGCCCACACGGAACAATAAGGGTGTGGAGGTGAGACACAGAAGGGTCGGGAGATTCTCGTAGAAATGGGGCTTCCCTTTGAGTGTGCCAAAGCCCTCTGAGTGCTCCATGGGCACATGACTGAGGTCATTCATTCCCGGGCTCCATCTGTTTTGGACTCTTGTCTAATGGCACAAACCACTTCGCCACAAGAAAAACCTCACCCACTTCCAAAGAGGTGAAATCAGGCTCCATTTTTTTCTTTTATTTCTCACCAAAGGATATCTTTATTGATTTTAGAGCAAGAAGAAAGTTGTGTCAGAGAGACAGAGAGAGACAAAAAGAGAGCGAGAGCAAGAGTGAGAGCGAGAGCAAGAGTGAGAACAAGAGAGAGAGATCGACCCATTGGCCTCATGCATGTGTCCTGACCAGGGATCCATTCTGCAACATTTTGGTGTGCAGGACAATGCTTCAACCAACTGAGCCAACAAGCCAGGCAAGATTCCATTTTTGGAAAAATGAGAATGTAATTACACTAAAAGAGTTTAAAAGCAATTGAACCTCCAAACCACATGGAATGACAACTATTGGGAATCCTATACAATGTTGGTGAAGGAAGAAACCAAGGCAACCATCACAGAGAAGGGAACAGTGGAGACATCATGGTGCAGCCATGATGGAAAACAGTTGGATCATTCTCTAAATGGTAAAATACAGTTATGAAAGGATCCATAACTTCCTCTCCTACACTCAAGAGAAATGAGAAGTTCAAACAAAAATCTACACATGAAATGTTCATAGCAGCATTACCAATAATAACCAAAAAGTGGAAACAACCCAAATGTACACTACCTGATAAATCCATACACACAGGGTCTACCTGTACAGTGGAATAGTATACGGCCATGAAAAAGACACCTGCTGCAACATAGAGGAACATCAAAAACATGATGCTCAGGGAAAGCAGCCAGATACAAAAACCACATGTTGTGTGATTCCATTGATAAGAAATGTCCAGCTCTGGCCAGGTAGCTCAGGTAGTTGGAGCACTGTCTGTACAACCAAAGACTGAGGGTGTGGCCCCCTATTGGGGCACTATGGGAGGCAATCGATCGATGTTTCTCTCACACATCAAAGTTTCTCTCCCTCTTTCTCCCTCTATTCCCTTCCCTCTAAAAATAAATAAGCTTAAAAAAAATTAAAACCTTCAAGAACACTAAGATTCCTAAGGACTAGCAAAACACAGGATAAATAATTTGCCCTCCTGCATAAATGGCAAATAAACATCTTCTAAAAATGAAACCTCACTAATATCACAAATGATGCTACTCAGAAAGAGGTCACGTGACATCCGTTGTCACCTATCATATGGATAGTTTATACCACTTGTTATTTATAGTCAATGAGCAGAATAAGCACCTAACAAACACCAATGTGAAGCAGTGGAAGCTCCTGCTGCACCGTGGCGGGACTATAACCTGTCTCAACCCAGAAATATGAAGACTCTTTCGGACCTTAAAAATACCCTCATCAATGTTCCTCTGCAAGGAATCACCCGCAAAGAAATCATAAAGACCTGGCTAATGTGACTCAGTGGACTGGGCACTGGTCTGCAAACCATAAGGTGTCCTGTTCCATTCCCAGTCAGGGCACATGTCTGCTTTGGGGGCCAGATCCCCATTTGAGGTCATGCAAGAGGCAACCCATCCATATTTGTCTCCCATAACATTGTTTCTGTCCTTTTATTTCTCTAACCCTTCCTGTCTCTCTAAAAATATAAAATCTTTACACAGTTCTTCCCCCTTCCCTAATTAAAAGGAAATTTTAAAAAATATCATACAAAATGCAGGGCAAAGATTTATGTGCAGCCATGGCTGGGTGGCTTAGTTGGTTGGAGTATTGTCTCCTACACCAAAAGGTCGTGGGTTTGTTCTGGGGTTGGGGCGTGTGTGGGAGGCTACAGAGTGATGTTTGTCTCTCCCATCTCTGCTGCTCTCTCCCTGTCTCCTTACAATTCAGTGAACATATCCTCTGGTGATGATATAAAACAAAAAAAGATTTACCTCCAAAATATATATGCATATATACATACATAAAAATATAAATTTATTGATTTGTGCCCCAGCTGGTGTGGCTCAGTGGATTGAGCCCTGGCCTGTGAACCAAAGGCTCACCCGTGCAATTCCCAGTCAGGGCACATGCCTGGGTTGCAGGCTGAGAGGCAACACATTGATGTTTCTCTCACACACCGATATTTCTCTACCTCTCTTTCTCCCTTCCACTCTCCCTAAAAATAAATAAATTAAATCTTTAAAAAAATGTATTGATTTGAGAGGAGCGAGAGAAAGAGATGTTGTTCCACTTATTGTGGAATTCATTGCTTCTTGTATGTGCCCTGACCAAGGACAGAACCCACAACCATGTCACATCAAGATGATTCTCCAACCAACTGAGCTGCATCTCTGTGCTTTTATGATGCTGTATTTTTTTTCCATAGAAGGAAATTTAGAGAAAAATACCACAAACAGCCGCCCACTAAAACACTGTAAAACATCACGTCCACAGCCAGGGACATTCACAGGTCCCTCACCACAGGCGTCCTCCTCCCATTCCGCTCCAGTTCCCTGGACATTCAGTGCCACCTGCCCACTTCTGAAGGTCCCTCATTCAGCACATCCTGCCCACGGCCCCTGTCACACTTCACTGAATGTATTTAAGCCACCACTTCCCAGGTGCTCACTGGTGTCTCCTAAGACCTCCCCCCCGCCCAGGTAGGACAGCTCACTCCTGAGCCATCCTGTCCCCTGCAGCAGAAAATCAACAGTGTCAGGACAGTATTCTCCCAACTCAGGGTGGAGACAACCCCATGAGACCCAGGGGCATGAGCCCTGAGGGTATTTGGCAGGGCAGAAGGTCATCCTGCCCAGAAGCCTGACCCTAAGGAAGGACATACGACACGGTAACATGACTCACCAGGGCCTTTGTTGTCAGTGGCTGGGTGGCCATCCTTCCAGTGCCCATGGTGACCAGGAGCAGGGCAAGCTGTGAGCAGGGGCAGAAAGAGAAAGGCACCCTGAGAGATCAGGTGAAGACCCACCCCATAGTGCAGACAGGACAGACAGAAACACCAACTAGGAGACAGGCAGACAGGGACGCACACACATTAATAGTGATCACATTGCGGAGGGGGCCCTATGGCATCCAAGGCTCTGGACAAACGTTCCTGATTTAATCCTCATGACATCCTACAAGGTGGGGGCTATTTCCACTCACCCCATTTTAGAGATGAGGAAACTGAGGCCCAAAAGGTAAGTCATGCCCCCAAGATAAGGGTGGGATTAGGATTGGGCTGAGCACATCAGGGTCCATGTGCTTGGTGCACCTGGCACACACACACACACACACACACACACACACACACCCTGACACTCCACCAACGCACATGCAGTCGCACACAATCAGCCCCATAGCCTTGAGGGAAGAACAGGTCTCTCTGCCCCCACACAGGTCTGACTGCCCACCCCATACTGAGAACACACCCCAGCACCAAAACAATTCTCCAGGTCCCCTCCAGATCTCCTGGGGTTACTGTGAGGCTCACAGATCAGTCACATAGAGGGAGTGTGGAGCCATGTGACTGCATCGCTGGAAGCATCATCCTGAACTCACAAGGTCAGGGACAATCCCTGGTCGTGCAGTTTCATCCCCTGATCCCAGGTCAGGGTATAAGTGGGAGTTATCTGATCAGTGCTCCTCTTTCTCTCAAACCAATAAAAATATAAATGTTTATTATAGCACTGTTCCTAGAAATAAACCCCAACCAACCAACCAACCCTAGATAGGTGGACAGCTGGATAGCTGGATGCTGGGCAGCTGGATGCTGGGCAGCTGGATGCTGGGCATCCAGGCTGAAATTCCACGTTTGCCTCCTGGAAGTAGGAGTTATGTTATGTTCCTGGGTGCAGTGATTTCATGATTTTTTTAAACAGTATTTAATTTTTACAAATGTGTTCCTTTGGACTTGCAGTTTCTAACTCCAATCCTTGCACCATAGGAGCAACAATACAAGCTCCTATTGAAGGACTAATGAAGCCCCTCAGAGCCAATTTACCCAGGACACCCCTACAGGATCTTGAAAATATCATTTCTTTTAATATCATAAGAGAAAACACAAATCTAATCCACCCTAGACTGTTTTTGCCCTTACCACAATACAATCACAATTCTAATTTTTACTTTATTTCAAAGGAAGCCATGAAGGCACAGTGGCCCTGGGAGCAGCATGTGCACAGGACTGGTGACCTCTGAACCCTGTGTGGCCTCAGATCTGTTTTTGCAGAGCCAGGTGTGGTAGCTACTCCTACTCCTCTGTCCAAGCTTTCTGGCATTTCCTGCCATCCACTGTTTCTAAGGGAAACAAGGATTTGCCATCTGTGGGGTGGTTAGTGTGGGGGCTTTGCAACTGAGATGCCTGGGTGTCCAGCTGGGTGAGTCACTTAAAGTCTCCAAGCCTCAGTTTCCCCATCTGCAAAATGGGGATGGTGAAAGTCCTTACCTCAGAGTCACTGGCAGGCCTATGAAATGACCAGAACGATACTCTGAGCATGCAACACTGTCTTAACAAATTCACCCAGGTCAGCATGGGGTAAGGTCTCTGACCTTCTTCCTTAGCCCCATTACGTGCTATCACACAAGTCCTACCATCCCGGGACCAGGGGAGGCTCTGAGAGCAGGAAGAAGATGGGCTCTGGGGCCCGCAGGCAGGCAGCTCCGCCCGGCCCGCCTGTCCAGGAGGGCTGTCTTTCCCACGCTCTCGCGGAGTGGGGGGCACCCCGACGCACCCACTCACACATGTCAACAATGCCCAGAGACTGAGGTGCAGGTGCACACAGACAGGGGAAGGCCTGGACAGGAGAGGCAGACCTTCACATGCACTGACACACTCACACCAGACACACAGGCTCAGAGGAAGAGGCCAGACACAGGTGGACACCTGGAAGGCGTCCTCATTGTTGACACCGCCGATGGAAACAAAGGCAGACACGCCCACAGACGTGCACACAGAGGGATCCCGCAGAGGCCAACAAAGGCAGCCGACACACCCACAATCAAAGGGGAGACACAGGAGGCCACCCGGACACACGGGGTGACAAACACGGAGACAAACTCACAGCGAAGGCCTGGGTTTCTCAGCCCAACAAACATTCATACACAGCCACAGGCATCATCTTCACCCACACGAACAGGCCCCGATTCACAACCCCTCCCGAGTAACACGTCCCATCCCTGGACCAGCAAGCTCTCTCCTTTAACTCCCGACTGATTCAGGACGCGGTACCCTCAGGATAGTGACCAGCTTCCCCTAAGCCCCGGATCGTACTGCGCCTGCGCGGCAGGGCGGACTACACTTCCCAGAACCCTATGCGCTGCTGTGTTTTTTGCTCCGGCCTCCGCATGGAGCCGGCGCTGCAGACCTGACGTAAATCGGACCTTAACCGGACTTTAACCGGACAGGCGGGCGCTCTAGGTTGCATGTCCCAGAAGCCCCCGAGGCACCTGGGTCAAGAAGGCGGGGTTAGTGGGGTATAAGGAGGAAGGTCGCGCAGTGAGAGGGCAGCGAGACAAAGATAGGGACCCGGACGGCTGCTTGGGAGGTGAGGGGTGAGCGGAGGGAAGTGGGTGCCCAGGGAGTGAGGAGAGAGGAAGAGGCGGGTGCAGGGCGGTGGGGATGGGACTGGGAGCAGAGGGAGCTGGAGAGGAGGGAGGGGAAGGGAAAGTGCTGAAAAGGCGGGGCGTGGGTGGAAGCAGGAAAAGACGCTGTAGCCCGTTCGCAGACATCCTGCGTTGAGCTACGGGGTCCTGATAGTCTTGGGGACTTGCACAAAGTTTTAAACGTGCAGAGACAAAAGAAAGTAAAGGATCGTAACCAGAAAGGAAGGATCAGCCCTTCCCATTATGTGCCAGTCCGTTATGGGCATGTTGTTCTTACAGAACCAAAGTGTGGGTCCCGCTGCCAGTCGTCCCCAATAGGCAAGCTCTAGAGGCAGAGGAGGGTGAGAAAGGAGTTTTTCATTCAGATGCTTCAGGATGAGGGAGAATGGCGAACTCTTGTCTCAAAACTCATTCCCTCCGGAAGACCGAGGAAAACTCCAGCGGTCCTCAGCCACACCAGAACAAAAAGCAGTGTCCAGAGTTCCTGCTCCCATTGAAAGTGTAGTCTTTTGGGAACCGCGGGTGCCGCTGAGCAGTCACCTAGGCGGCGCAGCTTGCTCCTGGCCACGGTCCTGTTTCAGACTCCCCTGTGGAAACCGCTGGGGCTGAAGGCCAGACTGCTTCCAGGTTCACAAGTTTCCTCTAAAACTCATCAGCTAGTAAGTTCTCCAGGTGGGCAAGAGAGCATCCCCCTCAGTTCCCTAGGTTTAGGTTAGTTTCCGGTGAAGGATGGTCTGAATGTCTAATGAACTTTAAACTTCCACACTGAAGAGGGGGGTGATTCACCCATGCATGACCCAGCGGGTTTTCTCCCCTGGCTATCATCTAGTCTTTGGTCCAGCACCTCTCCCCTTCTGCCATTTTGACCTCTATGGTGCACGTGCCCAACTTCCCATGGTCCCCTCCCCAATCAAGTACCAAGAGTTTAGGAGATTCCCCCCCCCCATCCATTCATCTCTAGAATTGTGCCTACTCAGTGCAATATTTAAGTTCCTTCTGCTGCCGTCTTGCCCCAGGCAGCGTATGCCTCCAAGATAGAATGCTTCACCTTCCAAGCAGGTGCTCGGTTACCAAGGCAATTCCACCCTTCCTGCAGCCTAGCCTTGGCCCAGGAAAGATGGAGATTTCCTCAGGTGGCCCCCGCTGTTCCTGCCCTTGCCTCCTCAATGGTCCTGCCTGGCTATCTGTATCATTAAGATGTAGAAAATCAATTATTCCTGGCAATCAAGCCACTCTCCAGATGATGACATTGATACACACAAGGGAGGTCACAGCAGAGAAAAGTGAGGGAGTTGGGGTGGGAAAGAGGTCTCCAAGCTGGGGCATTCTTACACCAAAAACTACAACCCAAGTGTCAAAGCATTTGTGGAATGTCTCAGTGACCATAAAAAGGAAGACTGCAGCCACCTTAGATTGTGATTAATGACTGTTTTTTCTTCCTTTTCTCATCCTCAACCAAAGATAGGCTTGTTGATTTTGGTGAGAGAGGAAGGGAGAGAGAGAAATTGATGTGAGAAAGAAACATTGATCTATTGTGACCCACAACCTTTTGGTGCACAGGATGATGCTCCATCTAAGTGAGCTACCAGGACAGGGCTGAAGTGTCTTTCAGATAGACCTGTTCAACTTGTAGAGACAGGCCAGCTGAGTTGTCTGTGGTTCTGAACCCTCTCCCCATAGACGAGGCTGTTGTGCTGAACACCACTGGGAAACCTGTCCCTGATGCTGAGTCAGACCACTGGAACTGTGCCTGATTAAATCTCACAGAGCTCTCTCTACCTCTGCTTCAAAGAGCAGATCTGCCTGCGATGGATCCCTGCTGTTGTCTGGAAACAAAGCTCTCTGGGCTGTGGGGAGCATGGGATGAAAGCAGGTAAGGGCAAATACTGCAGTCATTTTTAAGAGGCAGCTTTGTCTTTTAGGGTGACAGAGCCTGGGTAAAACCTGACTGAAATTAACATGGAGTTTCAAACACATTTCTGTGGGGAATAAATGTACCCCCCCCCCAAATGAAAATCAAGACATGCAAGAATTCAGGATGATGGTGTCTTTGGCTTGGGGAAAATTGCAGTTCTAGGTAGGGATATGTGAGTTATTGGCAAAGTTCTAGTTTTTATGTAGGGAGGAGTCAAAGAAGGATATTACTATTTTTATAAGAATACAGCATGGCACCCTGGCTGGTGTGGTTCAGTGGATTAAGCACCAGCTTGTGAGCAGAAAGCTGGCCCAATGGGTTCCCACTTGGGGGCCTGTGAAGGGCAACCAATTGATGTGTGCTGGCTGTTTCTCCTCTCTTTGACTCTGTCTAAAAATAATCTTTAAAAAAAAATTTTTTAATGCTTTATGTTGCCCTGGCTGGTGTGGCTTAGTGGATTGAGTGCCAGCCTGTAAACCAGAAGTTCGCCCGTTCAATTTCTAGTCAGGGCACATGCCTGGGTTGCAGGCCAGGTTCCCAGTTGGGGATGTGCAAGAGACAACCAATCAGTATATCCTTGGTTGTACAATGTAAACATTGATGTTTCTCTCCCCGTTTCTCCCTCCCTTCCCCTCTCTCTAAAAATAAAGTCTTTTTTAAATGCTTTATGTATTATTTTATTGTTAATAGAGCAACATTCTTATATTGTTATTTAATATTGGTAATAGATTGCTATCATCAAAAATGAAACCTTAAGTACACCATGAGTATGGCTGTGTGAGGTATACAGCCATAGATTAAACAGTACCCCCTTCTGACTGAAGGTACTCTGTTTTTACAAGACTTCCAGCCAGTGGGGTGGGAGGGGCAGCCTGTGATGTGAGGATTTTTCTCCAGTAACAACCCTGCAGGGAGGGGATCCATAAGGCTGGGTTTCTGCAGGGGGTGGTGCCCTTCCATCATCTCTGCTGCTGAGGGCCTGGATCCTGCCTTCTGGTCTGACCATTCCCAAGCCAGGAATGCAGGGCTGGGAGGGGCAGGTGGCCTGGGGCTGGCTGGCTAGCTGCGTTGCTGGGGTTCCTGTGGGGGTATTCTTGCCTCTTCCCCGTCATATAAGCGTTCGCACTCACTTTGACAGGACAACCCTTTCCTGTACCTTTTGCATCCAGAGTGTTTGAAATGGCATTGGTCTCCCTGAATAATAAATAGCTAAAATTCTAAAACTTATAAATGGGAGTAAATCTTTGTGGCCTTTGGCTATGCATTGGTTCCTCAAATACAACACCTAAAGCAGAAGAAAACAATAAAATAAACTACCCCATCGACATTAAAAATGTTTGCATTCCAAATGATGCCATCAAGGAAAAGACTACCCACAGAATGGGAAAAACAGTTGCAAAGCACATATCTGATAAAGGACTTAGAGCAAAAATTAACAACAAAAGAATATGTACAGAACTTTGAAATATTAATAGAAAAGCAAACAACCCAGTTAAAAAGAAACTGACAAAAGACTTGAACCAGACACTTCACCAAATAGAATACACCAATGGTAAATAAGCACCTGCAAAGGTTCTCAGTACCAGCTGCAAGCTGGAGTGGGGTAAGACTGCACATCAGCGAGAATGGCTACAGTGAGAGACAGCATGTTCAGTTCTGCCAAGCACACGGAGCAATGAAATTCCCAGAGCGTGCTGGTGGAGACAAAAAATGAGACGACTTTGGAAAAAAGTATGGCAGTTTCTGAAAAAGTTAAATATGGATCTATGTATGACCCGACTATTCTCAACAGAAAAGTCAGATTGTGCCTACAGAAAGATGTCTATAACTGGACACAACCCATATGCTTACCATCAAGTGAATTGGTCTCTCCATGATGTAGAATATTACTTAGGAGTTGGCTGTAGCTCTCACTGGGTGACACAGTTGACTGGAGTGTCACCCTGCACACCAAGAGATTGTGGGTTTGATCACATGTTTTGGCTTCTATGGGAGGCAACTGACTGATGTTTCTCACACACTTTTTCTCAAATCAATAAACATATCCTTGGGTAGGATATAAAAATAAAAACAGAGCACAACTGATGCACACAGATGACATAGGTAAACCTCAAAAAAAAAAAAAAAGCCAAGTGTAAGAAGATAAAAAGAGTACATGGCATATGATTTCATATATATAAAAGTCTAGAATAGGCAAAATAAATCACCGTGGTCACTGAGGAATGGGGGATAGGCAAAATGAAAGATAAACTTTCTGGGCTACTACACATGTCTACATCACAAGGATGATTTTCTGGGTAAATAAAAATGTCAAAATGCATTTATCATAGTAATCTCTCTCTCCCTTACTCTCAAATTAATGAACATATCCTCAGGTGAGGATTCAAAAAGAAGACGGTAGATCTCATGAGTTTTTGCCTAGAAGAAAATAAAATGCCATTTCAGAGGCAATATAATAGTAAAAATGTAAGCTTCCTACTTTTCATACTGCCCTGCTGGTCTTAGGCTTTTGTATGATACAATGCAATAAACTTCAATGAAGTATTTCTTCCCAAGAAAAAGTAAAACACAAAGGAGAGTGCAGACACTATTGTCCACTGTTCTTTCATTTAATGCAATATCTCAGAGCATCTTATATTATTGGTATCTTCAGTTCTTCCTCACCAGTTCTTACCCACATGGAGTGAATGTACTTAGCCAACCTGCTAAGGATCCTTGGGTGATACCACTGTTGCCACTCTTCCGAGCATGGCTCCTCCATGCTGCTGGGGGGACTATGTGTGTTGTGGACAGATGTAATTTCCTGATAATATTTCTTCATCAGCATGGAAGACCAGCAAACCCCAAAGAAAACTCTTCTGATAATAGGCATGAGACATGGTGTGACCATTTCCAAGCCAGGAATCCAGGGCTGCCCGGGGCAGGCGCCCTGGGGCAGGCGCCCTGGGGCAGGCTTGCTGGGTTCTTTAGGTTTGGGTGTCCTCTTGGTGCTCCCTCCTCCCAAGTGTTGACACTCATTTGGACAGAACAACTGGTCCCCACATCTTTGGCACCTGATGACTGTTCAAAATAATGTTGGTCTCACTTAATTCAAAGTTTTATTTTAAAAAAGTTTAGCAGGCCACTATGATAAACTTTGTTATCTGAAGCAAGTACTGGTACTTCCTAATCCTGAAAAAAAATTTTTTTCTCCTTGTGAACCACCTGGTAACTCCTACAGCTTATGAGCTTGGGGCCTTCCAGCTGGTGTTGCAGGGAAACTAGGGGCTGTGTGTAGGGAAAACGAGCAAACACACAGATGATGACATCCTGATCTCTGGATAAGACCCAGTCTTGTGTGACAAAGTGACAATGTCCCCATGGAGACTATCTATCTGCCCCTCTTCCTTTCTACTCCGATTTCTCCACTTTTCTATTGAAGTGATGGAAGCCCTAGAGATACCAAATGCATTGTCTAAACTCATAGGTCAGTTTTCTCCAGCTCAGTGAGAATACACAGTGCCCCAGGCCACACTCCCAGATACAGGACCTGTAGGGGCTTGCTTTCCACATGGCCCTGCAGATGCCATGGAAGCAAAAGTGAGCATGGTATGGCCTGTCCCCAGTGCCATGATGACCCATCTGAGTAGGACTTCTCTCGTACCCTACTTGTGGCTTCCAATGACAAGTCTAGTACTGACCCATGGACTCAGGACCTGCCAGTTGGGTGTGGATTCTGAGATTTCCCACTCCTCTGCTACGTGTGCATCCTGCTCTGATACTTTTGGCCGATGGAGCACTGGTATGGCTACACCCCAGTATGCAGACACGGGTGCTTCCTGAGACAGAATCTGAGGCTAAAGAACTTGCCACACTGGCTGCAGTTGTAAGGCTTTGCCCCGATGTGCAGGTGCTCCCTGAGTGAGAAGTTTAGCCTGAAGGCCTTGCTGCGCTGGCTACATGTGTGGGGCTTTTCCTGGGCGTGCACTCGCCAGTGCATACTGAGTGAGAAGTGTTGCCTGAAGGCCTTGCTGCACTGGCCACAGTGTATGGCTCCTTGCCCGTGTGTGTCCTCTGATGCATGATGAGGTGGTCATTCCGGCGGAAGGCCTTTCCGCAGTCCGCACAAGGGTACGGTTTCTCCCCTGTGTGTATCCTCTGATGCATGACGAGGCTCCTGTTCCGGCTGAAGGCCTTGCCACAGGTACTGCACACGTATGGCTTCACCCCAGTGTGCGTCCTCAGGTGTACGGTGAGGTACCCTTTATGTTTAAAGGCCTTGCCACATTCCCCACATGCATACAGCTTCTCCTCACTGTGTATCTTCTGGTGTGCTTTGAGGCACTCCTGCCGGCTGAAGGCCTTGCCACAGTCCCCACATGTGTATGGCTTCTCTCCAGTGTGTGTCCTCAGGTGGTCGATGAGGCTCCTTTTCTGCCTGAAGGCCTTGCCACAGTCCCAGCATGCATAAGGCTTCTCCCCGATGTGCGTCTTTTGGTGGGTGATGAGGTAATCATTCTGACTGAAGGCCATGCCACAGTCCCTACAGAAATAGGGTTTCACCCAGGCATGCGTCCTCTGATGCTCAATGAGTTTTCTGTTTAGCCTGAAGGCCATTCCACAGTCCTTGCACGTATAAAGCTTCTCCCCGGTGTGCGTCCTCTGGTGCCGGACGATGTTTGCCTTCTGGCTGAAGGCCTTTCCGCACTCCGCACATGTGTATGGCTTCTCTCCAGTGTGTGTCCTCTGGTGCTGCATGACATGTGCCTTCTGGCTGAAGGCCTTGCCACATTCCCCACATGTGTACGGATTCTCCCCAGTGTGTGTCCTTTGATGTACAATGAGGCTCCTATGCTGGGTGAAGGCCTTGCCACAGTCCTGGCACACGTAGGGCTTCTCCCCAGTGTGTGTCCTCTGGTGTATGATGAGGTACACGTTCCGGGTGAAGGCCTTGCCACAGTACCTGCACGTATAAGGCTTCTCCCCAGTGTGTATCCTCTGATGCACAATGAGGCTTCTCTTCCGAGTAAAGGCCTTGCCACAGTCCAAGCACATGTATGGCTTCTCCCCAGTATGCAGTTGCTTGTGGGAGGTGAGGGAGGACCGCAGGGTGAACTGCTTACCACATGTGGTACACGAGAAAGGCTTCTCCCTGGTGTGGATTTGCTGGTGCTCCTTCAGGGACGAGTGGTAGCTGAAAGCCATGCTGCAGTCCCGGCACCCATAGGGCTTCTCTGCAGAGTGTTTGGAGGGAGGACTGAGGCTTGAAGTACTTGAGTGTTTCCCACACATAGTGAATGGGTGTGTCCTCTCTCCTCTCTCTACTTCCCATCTTGTTGGGGCATGCACAGGGTGTTGGTGCACCAATTTCGTAATTTCACAACATTCAGAGGCTAATGCTTGGTACCTGTCCAAACACCCTAGATAGGTCACTGGGCTCCCACGTGACCACCCCACCAAGTTACCCTGTGTTCCTGCTCCTTCACTGGTGCAACCCTGGGTACCATTCCTCGTAGGTCCTGCAGTCACTGCAATGGAAGGCCTGCCTCCCCAGTTGTCTTCCTGTGGGTCCAGTTCTTTCAGGTCAGGTCTAGTCTCCAAGTCTGAGGGAAGGGAGAAAAAGATGATGACATAGTTAAAAATGCTGGGAGGGAGGACCTTCTCAAGATACAAGGCACAGCCTGTGTCATGGGAACCAAGGAACAAGCTAAGCAGTAAGCTGAGACAATGTGTTGTAGTGAGGTGAGCAGAGAGCAGGAAAGGTCCCCTTGGGAGTGTATGCAAAGGCAGCCAGGGGAGCTCAGAGCTGCACAGACAGACCCCAAAGTGAAAGAGGAAGGCAGGCTTGGAGGAGTGGATCAAAGGATCCCACAGACCGAGTGAGGATTCACTGCATTGTCCTGCACGCCCCCAGCCAACTGTGCTTCTTAAAGTATCAATTGTTATTAGAAATGATCAAGTAAGAGCTGACTCTCCTGTGGGCATGCTGGTTGCCCTCTGACTCCCCATGCCCCAGCAAAGCTACTCCTTACTACACTGTCCAAGAGAGACGTGGCCTTACAGCTGGCTCCTCGCCCTCCTCTTTGCATAATCGTCCCTCCCTGCTGACCACAACTGCTCTAGTTCCCTCATGCTTTGCCCCATGGGATCCTCAATCTCTGTTTCCAGTCTAGGGGGCTGTCCTGAGTTCCAGGCTTTGCACATGGATATCAAGGTTGCTCCCAAATTCTAAAAACTGTGAGGTCTTACACAAAAATCTCATTAAGAAAGTGAAGATCTAACCCTGGCTGGTGTGGCTCAGTGGGTTGAGTGCCGGTCTGTGAATTGAAAGGTCACAGTTTGATTCCCACTCGGGGTACAAACCTGCATTACCCACCAGGTCCCCATTTGAAGTGCTATGAGAGGCAACTAATCAATGTACTCTCACACATCTGTGTTTTTCTCCCTCTATTTCTCCTTCCCTTCTTCTCTCTCTATAAATGAATAAAACCTTTTAAAAAAACAAGTGAAGATCCAGCAATGCAGAGCCTTCCTTCCTATGAGGTAACAAAGTGGGAGTGGTAAGCAGCTCTTCCCCTTCCCCCATTGAAGCCCCCAATAGCCCCACAATCCGTAAGTTTGAGACCTGCCCCCTGAGTATTGGGAGGTTGGATTTGTGTCTCTTCTCCATGCTAACACCTCCTAAGTGGATGCCCCCCACACACTACCCCTCTCTGAGCTCTGCTGAGGAATAATCTGAAGCCTACTTGGCGCCCCTCTTGGGCATCGAATACCTAACACATTGGATGAGAGACTTGTGATTTCGGATCCTCCAGTCTCAAATAATAAAAAGAAGGAAAGGCCCATCAAAGAGACTTAGCAAAATAAGTCAGGCACACAATGACCGATACTGTATGATTCCACTTCTATGAGGCATTTGATAGAGACAGAAAGTAGGACATCGGTACCAGGCCTCAGGGAGGGGGATAGCAAGCTGTTTTTAGAGGGACAGATTGTCAGCTGGGTATGATGAAGTGGAGCTAGATGGTGCTGATGGTTGAACAACAATGTGAAGGAACTCATGCATGGAACTGTACACGCCAAATAGTTAAACAGTCAAAAACAAAATAGTTAAATAGCTTATTTTACGTTATATGTGTTTTCAAACATTAAGAAATAAATATTTTTATAATCACAATAAAAAAAAGACTGACTAGCCATCCTTGACTCACCCTTTCCCTTCCACTGCCCAGACTATGGACAAATGCCACCACATAGAAGAACACCTTGAACTGGGCCAGACCAACGTACCATCACTGCTGCCAATGCAGCCTCCACCACTCTCTACAACCGCCACTGTCCACTCCGTGGGAAGAGGGACTCAGGAATCAGGCCAAACCTTCCAGCACCTTCCCAGTACCATGGGGACCACATGCATCACCTTCATTTCTTGAGATTTAGTTGATAACACCAAACTGTCTTCCAAATGAGTTGTTCCAACGTCATGCTCCTAAAATGAAGAGTCCCTTTCCATGCACCCTCATAATACAAAATGCAGTTGCTGTTTTTTTCTTTATGCCTCATCTGAGGATATACTTAGAGAGGGAGACAGGGAGTGGGCGGGAAGAGTAGTGAAAGGGAGAGAGAGAGAGAAAAAAAAACACCCTTTGGTTGCCTCCCATATGTGACCACCTGGAGAGCAAACTCACAACCTAGGTATATATCCTGAAAGGAAATCCAGTTCACAGCCTTTCAGTGTACGGAACGAAGCTGCAACCAACTAAGCTACACCTGACCAGGGCTGTTATTCTTTTTCTTCTCTATGTATCTTATGGGCAAGAATTGTATTCCTGTGACTTAACTGGTACTTCTTTGACTACTAGTAAGGTTTAAAAATCTTTTGTAAAGTGTAACTCCACACATTTCTACATCTGTGAATTGCACACTCATAAGCTAGGTCCATCTCTATATCATTCATTTGGTCTTCTTCTTTACTCCAAGGATCTATTGATATATTTATGATCTTCCAACTGTTATATACATGTGGTAGACACTCTTCCTCACTTAATCACCTATTAAGTTTATTTTCAATGTCAAGTAATTTTAATGTCCTGCATGTCAGACCTGTGTATCTTTTCTATTTCTGTGTCATCCTGAAGTGATGGGCAGATAGTGACTAATGCAGCATCCTTACCCAGTGACACCAGGTTCCAGTAGTTCTCCATCATTACCTCCCTGTACAGGTCCTTCTGTGCGGGCTTCAGCTGCTGCCACTCCTCCTGGGTGAAGTCCACAATCACATCCCTGAACGCCACTGACCCCTGTAAGAGGAAGCACACACAACTTAGGACAGGGCCCTCCACACAATGGTCTGGAAGGCTGTCAGAAGGACCGGAAGGATCAGGAAGGCACACAGGATGCACCTGACATGGTGTCTACAACGTGCGGAGCCTCCAAAGGGCCTGATCTCTCAGTGTCCTCAGTGCCTGAGTACACCCGATGGTCCTCAGAGGGACAAACTATGGGGCTGTTCATAGGAAGGCAAACAACACAATCCAAAAATGGGCAAGAAACCTGAGTAGATAGTTCTCCAAAGAGAACACACAGATGGCCAAAAACAAGTGAAAAAATACTCAACATGACACAACATCAGGGAGCTGCATATGAAAACCTCAGTGATATATCATCTCACACTATGAAACAAAAACACCCGTAAAGGACCCATTACTGGCAATACCATGGTCAGACAGGTCAGAGCAGCATGTGGTTTGGTTCTTGATGGCAGATTCCAGGTGGGGCATGTGCATCAGGACCTGAGGCTTAAATGGCAGATGGAAAGCACAGAGGATGCTGATGCTAAAATACCCAAATAAACAAAGCGACTGGTGAAATGATAAATGTCTTTTACTTTATGGAAAAAAACATAATAAACTTTTTGGTCAATCCAATAAGTACAAACTTTTCAAATAACCACTGAGGCCACAAATGCATCCACCCGCTGTCACCCTTTATTATTCTACTTATTTCATTAAAATTTTTAAAATATAATTCATGTTCACAGTAGTCCCACCTGAATAAATTCACTTAATGAAATTTTTACCAAGCATGCTCCATGCACCAAGCCCAGGCTGGGACAGGCTGAAACCAGGAGAATGTCCTGGGCATCAGGGCGCCTACATGGAACAGCCACAGTGGGGTAAATGAGACACGGGACCCGTCCTCAGAAGGGTCACAAGATTCTCCTGGAAATGGGGCTTCCCTCCAAGTGTGCCAAAGCCCTCAGAGTGCACTGTGGGCTCATGATTGAGGCCACTCATCCAGAGCTCCATCTGTTTTGGATTCTTGTCTAATGGCACAAACCACCTCGCCACAAGAAAAACCTCATCCAGTTCCAAAGAGGTGAAATCAAGCTCTATTTTTTTTTTAATTTCTCACCAGAGGATATGTCTGTTGATTTTAGAGCGGGAGGAAGGTAGTGTCAGAGAGAAAGACAGACAGACAGACAGACAGACAAACAGACATCGATTTGTTGGCCTCATGCACATGCCCGACTGGGGATCTATTCCTTCAACATATTGCTGTGCAGGATGATGGTACAACCAACTGAGCAACCCAGCCATGGAAGGCTCTATTTCTAGAAAAATGAGAATGTAACTACACTAAAACAGATTAAAAAAAATTGAACCTCCAAATCCCAACCATGAGGAAATGACAACCATCGGGAATCCTCTACAATGTTTCTAAAGGAAGAAACGAAGGCAACGATCACAGAGAAGGTAACAGTGGAGGCACCATGGTGCAGCCACATTGGAAAACAGTCAGATTGTTCCTTAAATGATTAAATGTACTGTTATGAAAGGACCCATAATCTCCTTTCCTACACTCAAGACAAATGAGGAGTTCAAACGAAAAACTGTCCATGAATGTTCATAGGAGCATTACCAACAACCAAAAAGTGAAAACAACCCAAATGTACACTTCCAGGTAAATGCATACACACACGCTCTACCTGGACAATAGAAATAGTATATGGCCATGAAAAATAACACCTGCTACAATACAGATGAGCACCAAAAACATGAGGCTAGGTGAAAGCAGACAGAGTTAAAAAACCACAAGCTGTGTGATTCCACTGATAAGAAATGTGAAGCCCTGGCCAGGTGACTCAGCTGCTTGGAGAGTTGTCTGTGTAACCA